ATTAATTTGCACTCTATATATGATCAAAATGAGTCCCTTCCAATAATAAATCTAGATCGTCTATATGGTGAATTTCAAGATCTAGACCAAAATAAGTTTTTTATTGTTTAATATCAATAATCTAAAGATAATAAAGTTATTTAAAAAAATTGGAAAGAAAAAAAATTCTTCTAAGCCCTAGATCTATGTATCTCACCAAAATGGATGGCGTATGTTAATTGGCTTAAAAGCACTTTCTAGTTTGTGTATCAATTTGTTTATTGTTTATTTTGTGATTATTTATTAGAATGAAAAGAGTGTATATTTTAAAATTTGGTCTAAACAAATGGCTCTAACATGGTTTTTGAAAAGTATTTTATTATATTACTATACAACTCTTGTATGAAAGTGCATGCACATGCGTGCACGCACATGCGTACACACACACACACACACACACACACATAAAAGAACAACTCTTGTAATTGTTCTTTTAGTTCTTTTAGTTCCGCTGAGACCATCCTATAAAGGGCTTTTGAGATGGGGGCAGTGCCAAGGACCACATCTATCTCAAATTCTATTGCTCTGACTGGGGGCAGAGAGTTTAACTCTTTGGGAAAGACCTCAGGATACTCTCTTACCACTGGTATCTCTTCTAACTTAGACTGGTCATCCTGATTCTCCACTAAGTAAGCGAGATACCCAACACAACTTTTAGTTAGCAAACGGGAAGCCCGAATAGGCAAAATAAAATGCAGAGGAGGAACATTCTTAACGCCAATAAATTCAACTCAGGCTGGTTTGAGAGTCTAAGGGTTATAGTCTTATCATGACAATTTACGGTAGCATGATGTGTGGATAGCCAGTCCATGCCCAAAATAACATCAAAGTCTTGGATATCTAACAATAACAAATCTATATGCAACTCACACCCTTCAAGTAAAACCCCACAATATTTATAAATAGAATCAAATTCTATAGATCCCCCAATAGATGTGCATACTACCAATATCCATTCAAGCAAAGAAGGTCTAGCATTTATGTGGCATGTAAAGTGAGGTGAAACAAAAGAGTGTGTGGATCCAGGATCAACTAGGATTCGTACCTCTGATAACTGAAGTTGATGCCTTAGCTTCCTGCTCAGTGAGAACAAACACCCGACCTTGAGTCTTTGGTCGGTTCTCAGGTCCCCTTACTAAGCAGTCTCTAATCTGGTGGTCCGGCTTGCCACACTCGAAGCACGCCTTAGTCTTCCTTCGGTAATCAGCCGCCACATGATTATCCTTCCTACAAAGTGGACATGTTGGGCACCGATTCTCTCCTACATCGCCCAGTAAAGTCCACTGAATCATCTTGTCCCTTTGATTTTCTCTTCTCCGAAAGTTCCTCTTTAGCGGTGGTCGAGCTTTTCTCCTCGAGTTTCCAAACTGGGCTGGCCTCATCTTCCAGTTTCCTCCCCCTGGAACTCTTCCTCTTCCCTTTCTATCTTCATGGCCAAATCCACTAAAGGGGAAAAGGTCTTTAAATTGGCTAATATTACCCCCCTCCTTATTTCTGGCCTGAGGCCTCTTTCGAACTTACTAGCCTTCCGCGCCTCGGTATTAATGATGTGTGGCGCATACCTTGACAACTCAACAAACTTGGCTGCATACTGCTCTACAGTTAAATTCCCTTGCTGCAACTTGATAAACTCTACTTCTTTTCTTTCCCTTACTGAATCAGGAAAATACTTTTTATTGAAGGCTTCTAGGAAATTCTCCCAGGTCATTTCTGTCCCTGACCTTTCCCAAGATTGTTCTACTAAGCCCCACCAGTGCTCAACGTCCCCTTCAAGTATGAAAGTGCCTAGCCTTACTTTATGCTCAACAATGCAGTTTAAAACTTTGAATATCGTCTCTACCTGTCTCCTCCATCTCTCAGCCTTTTCTACTCCCCCTAGCTCTAAGAAGGTTAGAGGAGCCAACCTCCTAAACTTCTGTATTAAGCTACTATCATTCGAGTCAGGGGCAGGTGTAGATGGGGCTGGCATAGCTTCCTTCATCATCTGTGTCATAGCCCCTAAAGTCTTGACGAATTCACCGAGGGCCTTGGTGTTTTCATTACTGAATCTTGAATTATTGGCCCTCATCCTCGACATCTTCAACCAAAGACACACGCACTCAGTTACTAATCTACCCAAACTATTCTAGAGACCTTCTAAACTCCCTAGGCCAAGAATCCTTTCCTGGCTGCTTTGATACCATAGCTGTCACGACCCTGCCCCCTGACCGCTGCCGGTGGGGGACAGTGCACGGGATCGCGACCGGAGGTCACGAACGTCATTCAAGTGGGAGTGGCATAGCGCATAAAAATACGGCATCGAGAGCAAACTAAGAAAGAAAACTAGAATAAATCCATTCATCAAACAAGAATCAAACCAAAGGTACCATTTCATTCATTCAATATGAAAAGTCTATACAAATTCTTTGAGGCACTACTGGCCCAAAATACACAAAATGAAGTATACATCATGCTGCTGAAATCATCAAACATATTGTGAAAGTCTTCGAAAGGCGGCTTCTTAAACTTGTTAATTTCGGGCTTCAAGCCCTCAAATTTCCACCCTCATTGGTACAGCTACCACCACCCTTCACTCTATAGTTATGAGATTAAAATGGAATGAGCTCAAGGCCCAATAAGCAGATCACTACCCTTGAATTCCTGACTAATAGTATATACATGATAACATGACCATAGTTCATCAGAAATAACATTTGTCTTACAGAACGTAGTCACATATCAGAGTACACATGAATGCTGTATAACGAGGGTAAGAATCAGTTAACGGATCATTACTTGTCATCAGGATGGCATTTACCAGTTACCGTCAGATAGTCTTACAGAATACAGAATTCAGATAAGCAGAACAAATTAATTTACTCTCGAAGTAAAAGCCACATCGATCAGGCTAAGCCAATCTTATAACTTGGGACTTCTACCCTCATTCAGGAGGGAGGATAATGACAAGTGGGTGCCCCACTTCGTAATATCCTCACTCACGTACACATCCCCATTGTGCTTTGGGGTTTTCGATAGGCTGAGGCCTTGCAAGACATGCCCTTCACTTGTGCCTTAGGCGAGAGGACATTACACTACCATTGAAGGACCCAATGCGTAGTACCCATGACAATTTGGGGGGAGCCAGTTATTTATAGTTACATCTCGACTCCACTCCTATCATAGATGTCGAGGTATAGAATACCCAACTACTAATGGAGGACCCATTGCATAGCAGTCATAGAATCAGAATATCCACTATCAATGGAGGACCCATTGCATAGTGGCCAGAAATCACAGTATAACAGAATTCATATAACAAAATCAGAATATCCACTACCAATGGAGGACCCATTGTGTAGTGGCTAGAAATCATACAATATTAATAAAAAAATCCCGACTACCAATGGAGGACCCATTACATAGCGGTCACAGAATCATAATATCCACTACCAAAGGATGACCCATTGCATAGTGGCCAGAAATCACAATATAACAGAATTCATATAACAGAATCATAAAATCCACTACCAACAGAGGACCCATTACGTAGTGGCCAGAAATTGTGGAATATCAGTATCAGAATATCCGATACCAATGGAGGACCTTTTTCATAGTGGCCAGAGGTCACATAATATCAGTTTTCATATAACAAAGTCAGAATATTCACTACCAATGGAGGACCCATTGCGTAGCGAACATGGCATGTATAATAGTATCAATTTGACATAAATCACAATATCCACTACTAATGGAGGACCCATTGCGTAGTGGCTAGAAATCAGTATTCATATAGAAGAATCAAACAATATCAGTATCACATTTTTAACAGTATCAAATCCATATTATATCAATATCAACATTACATGATCACATTATCGGAGTCACAGAATCTTAGTGTCGTTGTCACATTTCCTGCAATTTCAAGTAGAGACATCTGGTTAAAACATGGTCATAACTCCCAATTCCTTTGAAAGTTGAAGATGGTTCCAGAACTAATTTTACACTGGACACTCCTATCTTTCAAATGGGAGTGGTTTGAAGACAGATGGGCCTCGTTTCCCAAGAGGTGAGGGCTAACTAGCAGCACTCTGCTATATACTGTGGACAGCTAGGTACCCTACTTCATATCACTATAACTTTCAAACCATGAGGTAACTTGTGCCGGTTTCAAATTCAACACTTAAGCCAAGACGTATATCTTTCTAACAAGATAATTTTGAATGCATTTGGATTCCATTTGGTGGTTCAAAAGTTTGTATCAGCAGGGTGATCTTTCTGAATTTTATCAATACTACCCAAAGTGACATACCTTCCTATGTTGAAGAATAACTTTCAATATAAAAAGAATTTTAAAATATTTTCTACATCTAAATTTTAGCCCATTCAAATTTCTTTCAAATGGCTGTGGTTTGGTTGAAAATAGACTTAGTTTGGTTAGCTAAAATCAATGCCCACAGCAGCATCAGTGGAAAATCCAAGAAAACAGTCAACAATAATATACTCTCTCATTTTGAATTATAACTTCATTTTCACAAAGAATTTCAACAGTAGTAAAAATTGAACATTTTACTAGACTCGTATATATTTCTTCCGGGGGTTAGTTTGAGGTCAATCATATCCCGTTTGATAGTTCGAAAGCCTCATTCAAGCACGTACATAATTTTGGAATTTCACAGTGGCATATAACATGACTCCAGAATACATTCCATAACCCTCATTTCATGGTGAGAAACTTGATAATAACCATTCTCTCACAATGTGAACATACATAACATGCATAACATGTACATAACATGCATTTCTTACACATGCATTTCTTATGACTACAATGCAATGGTGGTAGATCTACTTACTTGAATAACAATGGGGCCTTCTCCAATCCTTTGTTCACAGCTCTCACCCGCCCAACAATGGCTGCCCTCCAACAGTCACTTCTTCAAACCATGGGTCTTAGAGAGGGGAGAAATGAGGAAAGAGTGAGTGGCGTGGGTGAGAGGAAAGGCTTAAGTACTCTAATGTTTGGGGTGGTGATCCAAGTGTCATCAAAAGACTTAAAATCTGGACAAGTGGTACTCACATCAGTATGCATTTAACAAGTGGCACTCATAATCCATGCATATCAGTAACGCAGCTGGCGCTGGTCTCCTGCACACAACACAACCGACGCTAGTCTCGTTCTCCTACATCTGGTCTCTGTACACAACACAGCTACTGCTGTCACTTCTTCTCTTAACAGCCGGCGCTGGTCACAACTCTGCTGGTGCTGTCACTTATTCTTTTCACAGCCAGCGCTGGTCACAACTCAGCCGGCACTAGCACTTCTTCTTGTCACAGCCGGCGCTGGTCACAACTCTGCCGGTATTGGCACTTCTTCTCTTCACAACTGGCGCAGCTCACAACTCAGCCGGCGCTGGCACTGGTTCCTTCCTCCCTATCCCGTCATGCATTCTAACTGTCCGGGAAATGTTTGGGTCATCACAGGGTCCTGAAGAGCAGGTGCTTCTGGGGCACTTTGAGCCTGCTTGAACTTCTCCTAATGCGAGGCTTTGACCTCATGAGCTTCCTTTAAAGGTGGAGATGATGTGTTTTTTATGACTATCTCACCATTTTGTATATACCTATCCAAAACAAATCGCAATTCGAAATAGTGACACAAGTCGTGCCCTTTCAGTTGATGATATTAGCACCACAAGTTTTGATCTTTTTCTACAACCCGCTTCTGTTTCTTGGGTACAGAAGGCATGAGCGTTGTATCATTATGTCAAAGAGGATGGGGAACATGCGAGGAGATAGTTCAGCTATAGGCGCACTGTTGGTCGACTCTTCTTGGACTATGATCATATGTGAAGCTTCCGAAGTTTTGAAAGCATTCTCGAGGCTCCCCAAGTTGATTTGACCCTTTTGAATTAAGTCTTTGATGTGCTCTTTGAGCTAGACAAAGTCTTACATGGGGTGGCCTAACAATTGGTGATAGGCACAGAAGTTGGAGTGATTGATGAGTCTTGCCTGTTCTAGATTTCTAATGTCAGGAAGATTCACCATGCCTTGTTCAATCAGCATTGTCACGAGAGTTGGCACCCATGCCTTGTTGAATTTATATGGTTGGTTCAGTCTCCACATGAATTGTTCAGTCCAATTGTAGCTTTGTGGTGGGGGTACCCTATTGTAATTATATGTTTGAGGTTGCTGCTGCTGCTGGGGCTCCCCTTGACCCCTGGGTGGAAACCCTCGAGAGGTGTCTAATGTTTGGAGAGGAGTAGCATTAGCTGGGGGTTCAGGATGAAGAGGCATGGCAGTGACTACTGCACTGAGTGGATTCCTTTACTGACTAACCCAATGGTTGGCTTTGTTATTAACAGAATTATGAGTTTGACCCCCCCGAGGTTTGAGCTCGATTTCGTCCATGATTCCTTAGCAAGCTCTCAATTTTGGCTGCCTTAGTGATAATTTTGGAGAAAGTGGTAGGATTAGAAGCTTCGACATGTAAGGAGATTTATTTCTTCACTTTCCTTACGCACGTTTGTACAACATCAATCTCAGTCATAGGATTGCTCTGGCACATGATGATGTCCCTCCATCTCTGGATGTACTCACCCACTAGCTCATCGATCTCCTGAGCCATTGTGAGGAGTTCTATTTATTGAAGATCCAGTTCCGCTTCATAAAAGTGCTTGTAGAACAACTGCTCCATCTCTTGTTAGGAATGAACTGAGTTTGGGGGCAAGCGTGCATACCACTTAAAGGCGGGCCCAACCAAAGTTTCTACAAACTGTCGAAGAAGCAGTCTAGAATCTGAAGCCGATTCTTGGCATCCGACACGAAATGAGCCACATGCTGCTATCACGAGCCCGTGGCATCAAAGACTAGTAACCTTCCTTTTTGATAATCGATGGGGAAGGGGATTTGATCGATAAAATGCTGGTGTGGCTTCTTGTATTGGACACTTTCTTATGTCCTCGACATTTGTATGCCTTGGATGCTTTTATTGATCATCATCTAGACGTCTTCTTGAGTGAACATCAATGACATAGCTTGAGAGGCTTCATTTTGCTGATCATCGAAGGAGATGGGAGGGTTTAGCGGCCTTGGGGTTTGGGC